TATCGTTCCGGTTTTAATGGATGTCCCGAAGGACAGGTAGGTAGCTCCTTTGCTTCTTTCTTTTAAGAAGGGCGATAGCCTTGAGATATCATCGTGAAACTGACTGGCCCTATGTAATGCAGAAATTGCGTTCGTCCGGTTCCGTCTGGATGCTAATTTTTTTTTCGAACTAACGTCTGCATTTCAACAATTTATGGGTTTATCAACTCAGCTTTTATCGTTCAAAAAAAGGAAGAAGGGGGGGTGCAATGGGGGGTTTCACCATACGGGGTGCAGAGGGGGGTGCCAATGGGCACCGCAATAATTTTGCTCCACCAACGGGCCCGTTGGTGGAGCCTTTGCTCCTTCCCTTCTGATATTTATGTAATTTACGTAATTTACTTAATTTCAAGTTTCCAGAGGTGATCATATTTCTCGTCGCGCAAAGGCGCCTTCGTGCGATTCAGGCATGAAGCGTCTTTTCTCTTCGAGGGTGGTTTGATATACGGTAAGGGGAGCGAGAGCTGGGATGCCGGATGCCAGAACTTGATTATTTTTAGGGTTTAGGGGAGCGAGAGCTGGGATTGCATGTCAACCTGTTTCGGAGAGCGGTGGCGTGTCGTGCTCTATCGGTCTCTCCCCTTGCGATACTTGGGGTTCTGTCGATATCGATCTCAAGTTGGGGAAACCTTTGGGCCTTGCCTGCTGCTGCAACTTTCGGGGTCTTGCATGCTGCTGCAACTTTCGGGGGTCTTGCATGCTCTGCTGCAACTTTTAGGGGGTCGGCAGCTGCTGGAGCAAAATGGATGGCCTCCTCAGCGAAAATGACGCCCACGCCTGTTTTGTATTGGATTCCCCCCAAAAAAATCTGCTGCATGTGGTGCTGCTGCACCAATGCCCCCTGTCAAAGTTCAGAAGAGAAAAGAAAAGAAAAAGAAAAAAAAGGCACCCTACCGTCTTCACCTGAATACAATGCCCGGTCATTATTGCTGCGTCTGGACCGAAGGTTTGTGCCAAATACAGCTATAATGACCGGGGGTTCTATTCGGGTGAAGACGATAGGACCTGGGTGCGCTCTTCGATCGCAACTTCTTAAGTACAGTTGGATTGGTGTATGTATGTATAAAGACATGTGTGTATATATTACTGTGTTTGTCGGCAGGAATCATACGGAAGACGAGGACGGTGATGGAATGTCTGCACCGGTTTTGCCGAGAGTGTATTGACAAGGCTATGCGAATTGGGTATGAGGAAAGCGAGCATGACTCTCTCCACTCTCTTGCAATTTCTGTGCACAGAAGAGGAACCGAAGCATCTGCTTTTCTCACTCTGATGGCTCGGGCAGGAAAATGTACGTTGCTGGTTTTCCAAATTCCTATTGATTAATGATGACCTTTTGATGTGCTGTATAAGCGTTGATTAACCAATCAGCCAAGAGTCCATGGCGTGGAACACATTGGACAGCTACCTCACCCTTGAGGCTGAATGGTTCACGCACGCAGTTGTTGATAAGCAGACACACACACACACACACACACACACACACACACACACACACACACACACACACACACACACACACACACACACATGCACACACACAAATCGACGTGGCGAGAGCCTTGTACGTGAGAGCCACAGTAAAAAAGGAGCTGCAAGGAGAAATAAAAGAGAGATAGAAAACCCAAAAAAGGCCAAAGTAATGAAAGCAAAGAAAGAACTGCACAAGGAAAAGGCAATACAACGGTCTTAGTATGCTTCATGTTGTTTGCTATAGAGGTGAAACTGTTTCAATTTTGTATCGACTTATTTAGGTGGAAAAAAGGGGTTGTTGTGGTGACACCGTGACAGTTTACAGCGCGCGCACACACACACACACACACACACACACACACACACACGCACACAGATGGATAGATAGATAGATAGATAGATAAGTATAGATAGATAGATAGATAGATAGATAGATAGATAGATAGATAGAGAGAGAGAGAGAGAGGGAGAGGGAGAGAGAGAGAGAGAGAGAGAGAGAGAGAGATGTCTCTCATACACATCTAGATGTGTATAAGAGACAGGCACT